TATATATATATATATGTAAAGTGCTATATAACATTATACAAGTCTATAGAAGCAAATATCTCATAAGTTATCAAAAAAAGAAATTGAGATTCTTTGGATTTTTAGATTTTCCAAATTCCATTAACATTTCTTTTTTCTTTTTTCTTTTTTCTTTTTTTGGCAGTCCTGGGGATTGAACTCAGGCCCTTGCGCTTACCAGGCAAGCGCTTATTCTACTGAGCTATCTCCCTGACCCCTACCATAGCATTTCTTTACATTGCCATGCCCTGTGTGAATGCATTCTGTCTGGAAAATGTGCTTGAACCACCAAACACTTTTTTAAGTACAGAGATTTTATTATCATTTATGGGAATGCTATATCCACCCTTCTAAAGGGAGAGTTTTCAATGTGTTTGTAATCATCACCACTATTGTGTAGTGTCAGAATATTTCAACACTTTATGTTCTTAATTCGTTGATTGTCTTTTAATTGGTATAATGGAATATATAGATTTTGAGGTCAAGAAAATTAAAAATGATTCTAAAGAGATAGAGAAAAGGAAAATTCTTGGTTGAAGAGGACAACTACCCCTTACAGAGGAGGACTGTTCCTAGGTCAGAGGTACAGAGTAGCTGCTCTCCACTGCTACAGCCTCCAACCTCCAAACAATCTCTCAAGAAAAGGAAAAAAAAATTTTTTTGTACTTTAGGGAAGGGTCTACAGGGTCTCACTACTAGATCAGACTGGTAGTGATCCTCCTGCTTACAGTCTCCCAAGAGCTGGGCATACAGGCATGTGCCACCACACCCAGTCTCAATCTGCGTCTCAGTGCACCCCGGGGCGAGGCTGGCACAGCAGGCCCAGGGATTGAACTCCAAACCCCTGGGCCTGCTTGCAGGCACTTTAATCTGCTGAGCTCTTTGGCCGGCCCAGGAAAAGTTTTAATCAATGAAAAAAATTGATAAATGAACTTCATGGGATCAATTCAGATTCAAGCAGTTATACGTACTGTGTTACTGTATAAGTTGAAGATTCATCTATCAGTGTTGAACTACATGTTGAATATTGAATATCCCTTATCCAAGATGTAACCAGAAGTATTTCAGCTTTTTTTAAAAAAAATAGAATATTTTTATAGATTTTATTGGCTGAAAGTTTTTTAAAACTTTTTAAGTTTTAGCTTTTTTTTTTTTTTTTTAAAGATGGGGTCTCATATGTAGTGTAGGCTGGCGTTGAACTCACAGTGATCCTCCTGGTTCAGCCTCTGAGTGCTAGGATTGTAGGCATACTCCACAAGTTTTGGATTTTGGAGCACTTTAAATTTTGAATTTTCAAATTAGAGAGATACTGAATCTGATAACAAATCTGGAGAATCACCCTTTCACAGACTTCTGTATTCTGATCTATAAATTAGGAAGGATATTACTGTACCTATCTCACAAGGATTGGAGGACATGAGATCTAGAAAAACGTATGGTGTATAAAGAAGTTTGTATGAATGCCTGGCATTGCCAGAGAGAGGGGTATGCATCGGCACATATGTAAAGCAACTACCATTAAAATGTTTGGCAAACAAGCTTTTGATCTAAGCTGGGGCCCTGGTAGCTCTACCAGATTCACAGTGCCAAGACTTGCCTTGCTTCACGGGGCAGGAACCTAGTGCGAGACTGTTGGTTCAGGCTGCTCAGGCAGCAGGCCCACAGAGGCCTTAGGTCTAGCTGGTGAGCACTAGATGTGCTCACCGTGAAGCTTGGATTTTAGAAGAAAGCCAGAAGCCAGGAAGCTCACAGGGGAAAGGAAGCTCTGAATTATGGATGTTTCTGGGTCTTTGGGAGTCGTACCTTGGATGTGCTGCCTGTGACCGGAAGGGATGACCACAGTGGAGATTCCTGCTGCATCTTTAGTGACAAGCACGCTCAGGCTCCTGTTGGCTCAAGACTGATGCATTAGAAAAGTAGTGCTGGGATTGTTCTAGGTGTCATCTTTAATTCTGTCATCTCCTTTCATTAGCAGTCAGGACATGAATGCTGAACTGTTAACCTGAGCATTAATACGGGGGGATAAATGTGCATGAAAATACGTTTCCCTTAGGGGCTTATAGTTAGTGGTGGAGATAACTCTATCAGAGAGAAAGATGTATACTAACAGTTTTTAATACTTTAAAATAAGTGTTGATATGCTGTGCACACAGTGTAAAAATAGGCATATATCTATATTTAAAAATAAATCTAATATCTGTAATCCCAGCACTCTGCTGAGGCAGGAGGATCACATGTTTGAGCCCAGCATGGGCCATTTAGTAACATCCATGCCTTAAAAACTTTTAAGGTGAGTGAGAAGGTAAAGAAAAAGTAAAAAAGATTTAAGATGTGCTATATATAAGTTCCAGTTCCACAAGACAAATGTAATTATTTTGTATGCAAATATATGCTAATAAATAAGGAAACTAAATGGGGGACTGGAGATATAGCTCAGTGCAAAGACTCTGGACTCAATCCTCAGTATCACTAGAAGACAGATAGATGGTTGATTGATAGAGAGATAAATAGGCAGGCAGGCCAACATTTATGCCTATGTTATATATGTAAAAGGCCCAAAATAGGTATACATCAAAATACTGATGTTACTGAGAATTTAATTCTTTTTTGATTTAAATTATTTTATTTTATTTTCTGTGTCTTCTTCAATGGGTTTGTATGGTTTATGTAGCTACAAAACTACTATACCATATTAAACTTCTCAGGTTTCCAAAGTATCATCACATGTCCTATCTTACTGGACCCTTGTGTTCTCTCTGTGATGTCAGTAATGAACATGTGTGGTACAGATGAGTGAAGCGGAGGAGACAGACAGACAGACAGACAGACAGACAGACAGACAGACAGAAAATTCAGAAACTCAGAAAGCTAAGAGCAGCAAGATTGCACGGTACAGATAGGGTAGGACAGACAGCAAGTGGCAAAACTCAGGCCTGGAGCAGAAAAAGAAGATTTCGAAAAAGGGGGGAGAAAAATGGATACTGCTCGAGGGAAAGGAAAATGTGGATATCCCTGAACATTTTTAGGTTTAAGACATTGGCTGGCTTTTTCCTTCTGTCTGGCTCTGTCCATGAAGGTATGACCCAGCTGTAGCAGACTCCGCGATGCGGCGTACAGTGGCTGGGGACCTGACAGTCTGAGTTGGATTTGCAGTTGGAGCATTGCTGCACTGTGTAACCTAGAAAGTTATTTACAGACCAGTGTGCTTCATCTACCTACGTACTAAGATGAATGCTTCTATTTATTATAAAAATGAAATGAGTTAATCCTTTGAAAGTATATCAGACATAGGGAGGACTCAACCGATGTAAAACTCCTTTAAACTGTTCATCCTAATTCCTGTGGTACAAGGCTGATGAGGCTGTTAGAAGATTACATAAAAGAAATATCCAGATATATAGTAAGTATATGTGCATATCAGAAAGTGCTGGTGGCTCTCAAAGAAGAATGTAAAAGGATGAGAAAATTAATATGAAAATATGAGACAGCTTATACTTTTGTTACTGGATGGTCCAGCTGTCAGTTTAAATTCATACCAAGCCATGTCTGGTTATAACAAATGTTTGAGATCTCTGTGGCATACACTTAGATGTTCTAATTATACAATTGTGGGAGGCGAGTAATTGCCACTAAATTAGAAATGATTGTTTTGTCATAAAAGCCCTTGACCACAGGAGGGGTGTGTTGTTGAAGGTTATTCTGAGCTGTGCTGGTGAAATCAGAAGTGCATCTTCTGAGCCTCGGCACTGGGTGATGCTCCTTTGGAAGCATTGAGTCCAAGGTGCTTAGAAGGTTAGCATTTATAATATTGCTTGGTGAGATACTAGTTGCCTTAGTGTCCTATATCTACTTGTTTCAGTCCTTCAAGTCTCACACAGATAAATTATGCAAGTCCTGAGAGTCTGAGATAAGCATCTCTTGTCATCTCATAAATGTTCTAGAACACGTAAAAAGCATTCTTTGTGCTTTTTTTCAGACACCCTGGTTATGGAATACGAGGCACTGCTGGTACAACTACCCCTATCAGGTGAGAAATCCTTCCCTTCTGGGTTTTTACAACATAGGGTAGCTTTCTTACATCCAGTTCGTGGTTTCAAGGAGGACCCAACAGGTTGTGACAGCCACTTGCCCTTTCTGGATGTAACCTAGTGGGGAAAATAGTTGATGTATTTTTAGTGAAATTCAAAAATCAAAGTGTGATTGTCTTAGTAGAGAAAATAAACTTGGAGAGCACATTTGCTGGAGAATAGGGTGTAATCATTTGCACAGGTGTGCGATTCCTGTACAGCAGCCGACCTACTTTTACTTCCTGGGAGAGCTCAGGGGTGGAGCTGGAGCAGGCCTTCTGGGCTTGGTTCATGTGTAGCTTAGGAACAATCTCTAAATATGTAAATCATGCCTCATTTCCTTCCGTGCAGAAAAGAACCACAGGGCTGGAGCCACTGAAAATGAGATGAAGTCATATCCCAGAACAGGGAGGATTTAGATCCTTGCCCATAGTCTTGCCTTTGCACCTATACATGAATACACATATGGATCAGAGCTGGGCTTTCCTTAGATTTCTAGCTGTGAGAGTCTAGTTCAGCTGGGTTATGATATAAAGAGAGGCAAGCACAACTAGGTATTCGGGTGATAAAATGAAAAAGACACATTAGGATAATGAATTTGGATATTTTGAGTTTGGAATCCTATGGGGTTACCTTCTTAGGGGCATTTGGGCTTTCTGCTGGGTACTTCCGGGAGCAGCATGCCTCCTATCTTCTCTATTTCAGAGTTGTACCTGGAACAGGGACTGGCCTTGGATACTCCCGGGCAAGTTCAAGGCTGAGGACACATTGAAATGGAACCCTAGTTTGCATTTCCATCCTTCTCAAGTAATTTATTCAGATTAGGAAAAAATGTAAATAAGCAGCCTGACATGGTTGGGAACAACAGAGTATTCTGGGGGTGTCTTATGAGGACTGAAGTGAGGTTGAAACCAATCATTTATCTTACTCAGTTGTAATTCTCAGGCCCCACTGCTGTTTTATGCCTGTAAATACTTGGAACATTATCATTTAAGGCTCTCTTTGAATTCTGTAATGGTAGACTGAGTAGTACAGTCCATCTACCTCTTAATTCCTGCTTATAAAGGACATTAAAAGCTTCCAGAAACTTTCACTTGAGTGTAGGCGTGGCAGCTGTTCACTATAAGGCACTGCATTTATGAGCTGAATTCTGCAACATGAAAGACACAGAGACGGACGCCATGTGAAATGTAATCTCTGTTGTTCTTCTTAAATGTAATATAGTCCAGATAACTTTAATATTTACAGTTGGAGCTGAGAAATTGCTAAGGCCGTGGACCAAAGTATAATGTGGACTGTTTCACAGGCAGTACTGCAGATTAAGCAGGGAGGTCTAGAGGTCTTGCAGATACAGTTATGTTGAAAAATAGGAAATACCATTAGTTTCGAAGAAAAGATACAATATGTGAGGATTTAAGCTTATCTTTTACTCATAAGTTATCATCACTTAATGCTGAGTAATTAAGCATGACGTCACCAAAATCTGAGACAACTTGGTGGTCTCTTGTGAGAACAGTGGTCACCATTGACAAATGCCGCATATTAATAAAAAATTAATGGCTTGCTCTGTGCATAGAGGAGTCATGGTGACAGCACGCAATTACAGTGTATGTAGTTATACCACTCTGCGTGTCCACGTAAATACATATAGTGGATTGCAATTCAGAATCAATTTCACGCCTTAAAAGCTTGTTCAAAGGTTGAGTGGGCTCAGGAAACATTTTTATTGTGTCCTTTGCATGTAATACACATAAGTAACTGAACAGATTTTAAATTAAAAAAGTAGTAGTCTGCTTTGGTTTCATTAGGGACACCCTGCTCCTTTTGTATGAGCGTGGATATTGTATTTGTTACCTACATAATTTTATTTACATGTTGCACTCTGTTGACCCTTGTGCAGCCTGTTGCAAAGAGCATAGCTGGGCAGGAGAAGGCCTAATGGGTTGCCATAGGCCTTCCTAGCTGAATTCACTAACAGCAATTTCCTGTCCACTGTATAATCTAGATCTAGAATGAAAGTACTAATTTCATAGAGTTCGTATGAGAATCAAAGAAGATCTGAGCAAGCTTTGTCAATTGCTGAGCAGTCGTGGATGTGCTAATTATAATGAGGTGCACTCCTGCAAACTGCAGTGTGTGGATGTGCTCTAACTTGTCTCCGTAACTCCTCTGGGGCATTTTCCCAGGTTATAATGCTGGCAGTAAGAGAAGTTCAACCTGACCTTTGCTCAAAGGGTGTTGAAGCCAGGGCTCTCTGTCCGGGACTTCATCATTGCGAGCATCTGCCCTTGAATACCTGTCCTTCATTACTAATGCCTTCCAGTTGGAAAAGGGCAGTGCAAAGGGGAATATCTTCTCTTCAGGTGATGCTGAGATGGATGAAAACACTGACTGGTCCAGAATTTTAGCACAGCCTGCCCCAAGAAGAAATAAGCCCCACACCTGAGCTCTCCACTCCCAAGACCTGATTGCTTCCTAAAGACCTCATCTCCAAATTCCATCACATTGGACATCAGGCTTCCACGTACAAGTTTTGGTCAGATCACAGTAATGTTCATTGTCACATAGAGCTTATGACTGCTGGCTGGAATATCCTACCTCCTCTTGTAACCTTTTGTAAAAAATCTGGGTGGAACAGTAGTCTTCCTTAGTACTTGTGCTTAGAGTAGGTAGGTAGTGAGTGCCAGCTTTGTATTCATGATATTTCCATTAGCATCATAACGTATCGTCGGTTGCATTTACTGTTTATAATACGCCACATGCACAGAGGTGTGGGCATGTTTGTATGGAGACCCTTGAAGGTTTTTTATTCATTCTGGTAAAGTAAGACCTTTTGTTCTAATGTAATACAGCAGTTCAAAACAACTCATGAAAAATATTTAAAAGCTATTTTGGTTTTTAAAAAATCTTTTTTATTAATATCTGTTTGCGGCCCATGCTGGGCCCATTGCTTGAGGGGAATTGGTGCCCAGAGGTGTGCAGAGCACATCTTTGTTCTTTGCGCCTCCTTCCCGCACCCCCTCTTTTGTTCCAGAACTAGGGATTGAACTCAGAACCTTGTGTTTGCCAGGCAAAGCCTTATTCTACTGAGCTATCTCCGCAGCCCTCCCCTTCCCTTTTGTAAATGATCTATCTTATTTCTTATCATCTGTCTCTTATTTATTTCTCTGTTTCTCTTTGGAATTCCTTGTATAAGAGAAACCATGTGTCTGAATTATTTCACTTAACAGTATGGTTTCAAGATGCATCCATGTTTCTACAAAGGACTCAAGTTTATCCTTCTTTATGGCAGAATAGTACTCTGTGGTGTACAAATACTGTATTTGCTTTACCTGTTCCTGTGCTGTTTTGTTTTTATGCATTGATATGGAAAGTAGTCTCATCTCTCTGAACTACTAGGGAGTTAGAGCAGGTATCACCCGCGCTTTACATACAAGTAAACTAAGGGCCAGTTTTGTACCTTCAGAGCTGTAGAACAGGGCCTTGATCCTGAGTTTACTGGCTGGATGCCTAGTTTGCTATGTCTCAGCAGCTTTTGTGTCCCTGTCATCTTTTAATAAATAATTTAGAGTAATTAAGGCTTTCTGATTCATGCCTCAGTGACCCAGATAGTGCTCCAGTTTTATTACCGCCTTCCTTGTCCCTGTATTTTCGGCAGTTGTCAAGGTTATACTTATTGTGTATGCAGTAGAAATTTTTTCAGGTTGGCTGAGGAACTTTGAAGACACTCATGTCAAAGAACCAGAAATGCTGCTGTTAGACTGGATAATGAATTGGATCCCCAGTGTTCATGCTGATTAATTCTTTGTGGGTTTGAAATGACATGAGAAGAATGTCACAAAGCTGTGGTCAGAAGCATCCCTGAAAGCTCCATTATCCTTACAGAGAATGCGGCAGGAGCTACATTTGCACAGCAGAATATTTGTTACTTTCCCAGCACTGAGTTTGAGATATTTGGCATAAATTGGGTTTTTTTTATTAACCATTAATTGTTCTTTTTTCTTAAATCTGCAGCCTCTCACCACTGACCTTCACTACTATTACATCCTGGAGCTGTCATTTTATTGGTCTTTAATGTTTTCCCAGTTCACTGATATCAAAAGGAAGGTAAGAGCGGCTATGTCGTAAAGTGCTCATAAACACGTTGTTAATGACCCTTGGCAGGTGGGTGAAGGCTCCAGGGCACTCACCTCCATCTGCCTAGCAGCACTAGGTACAACTCTCCTCATTACTAAAGGAAGTCCTTTGCTCATGCCATTTTGTATTTTGTTCCTACTGCCCCTTCATTCTTCCCAAACAACCCAGTGTTCTTTCCTTCATGAGAAAAATACAGCAGTGATTCCCAGTGGTAGTAATTTGCTCTCTGTTTGGTTCCCAAGTCCCTTTGCTGCCCAGATTAAATGAGAAGAAAAATTTTATTTGTAGTTCCTGGGAGAGAGAAAAGTCTCAGTGTTTCATCCCTGTAGAGTGAATTTCCCAATTAAAGGGTTATCTACTGTCAAAATATGTCTCAGAAATGTAACATTCTGAAGTGAACTGTGTTCTTGCTTCCTCCACTGTAATTGCTGTTGCTGAGAGTATTCACGAGCTCCTGAGTGCTAAATCTGCTCCTTCTGGCATCCACCCTACCATCCTCTGGCACACTCAGTGCTTCGGTTATGTATTGCTTAGCTCTGCCATCACGCCATTTTCTCAAGATTCTCATCCATTTGAATAAGTCCTGCAAGACTGTCTCATTGTGTTTCTTTGGCTCAGATTTCCTTTGGATCCACCCTTGTACATTTCTAGTCACAAATAGTGCTAGTGTTTTTTATTTGTTATTTAATCCTCACCACAACTCCAATTCCAATTAGTTTATTTTTTATTTATCCTTATTTTGTGATTGAGAACGTAGCCTGACATGCAAAATATTCCCAACTGAAGACATGGCCTCCTACTCTTGTCCTCCTCTAATTAGTAACTGTGGAAGAAAGGAAGCTTTTCCTTGAACTCTTCCTTGCCTTGTTCCTGCTCCTTTTCTCCTGGTCTCACCTCTCTAATATTGCTGACATCCTCTCTTCATTGACCTGCCCTGACAAAACAGCCTCCTAAATGTTCCTTGTGCTAAACAGTTGTTCTCATCTTCCTGCTGCCTAAGTTTCTAAAACCTTCAAGATGAAGCCCAAGCCATTGGAGAGTTGCAAACAGCACAACAGACCTTCCTCCCCACTCTGCCTTACACACCTAACATACTCATAAACTCCAGCTGCAACCATCTTCTCACCTTTATTCAAACACATCCAGTTTTTCCTTACTCACCTTTGTTTTTACCAAGAGCCTGTCTATGACTAGAATGTACCCCGTTTTGTCCTTCTCACTCAAAATCTAGCCCAAAGGTAACCTCTTTGAAGCCTTATTTTGTGCTCTCAAGGCTTTTGACTACTCTTTCTATATTTAGTCTACCAGTTTCCCTGCAGTTGCCTATTGTATGCTAATGGTGTGGAGACCTGCCTCTCCCTTTTCACTGGACTTGGAGTAAAGAGCCACATCTTAGTCCATTTGGCCTGCTGTCACAGATGCCGGAGACTGGGTAGCTTAGAAACAATAGAAGTCTGTTCCTCACAGCTCTGAAAGGGGAGCAGTGCAAAGTCAGGGTGCCGACGGATTCCACGCATGGTGCGAGCCCACTTTCTCATCAATGGCCCTTTCTCCCTGTACCCTCACACAGTGGAAAGAACAACACGACTCTCTGGGACTCCTTGATAAGGCCACGGATTCAACTCAAGAGTTCTCCTTCCAGGAGCCCCCATCTCCTAACACTATTGCTGTGGGCATGTGAATTTCAACATACCCATTGAAGAAGGTGTACTCATCCCATACAAAGAAGAGCACATTTATCTTTATGGTGTATCACCAAGTTTAAATGGATCAGTTCCTTTGCAAATGGGATTGCAGCTTAGGATGAATAGAAAACAGTACTGTATCATCTTTGGTTAGACCAGTGATCTGCTAAATTATAAGTAAAAACAGAATTTTTTTTTTTTTCCAGTACTGGGGATTGAGCTCAGAACCTTGTATTTGCCAGGCAAGCACTTACTCTACTGAGCTATCTCCCCAGCCCCAAACAAGAATTTTTTTTTTCACTGCTAAATTTTCACTACAAACGCAAGTAGTTGCTGAGAAGCACTTAGGAGTCCGTGGCCTAGAACCCGAGTTCCCCTTTCACCAAGTGCACTCCACCACCCAACAGCAGTGGCCCTTTTGACCAGCACAAAGCTGTCTTTCCTGAGTTTTATGGCTGCAAGGCCTTAATATGGTGTTTATCATCAGATTCTCAGAAGTGGATAGTCCCTGTCAAGACTGCCTTTAGCATGGCAGGTGACTTCTAGGTGTCCACAGGTTGTGGTTCCTTTACTCTACACCATACACTCTTTACAACCTCCTGGAAACACTGAAAAATCGTTTGTGATGCGGATGCTGGAAGGATCTCCCCTGTCATACGGAAGAAGCCTTTTTTATCCATATAGTCAGAACTTACAGACTGATTATCTGCAGCATCCCAGCTATCACACTAGGGTTCATTTTGCATTTTATTTTCTTTCTGAGTAGCCCTTTCATCCAGGTAGTCATACCATACACTTCTGTAACAGAGAAAGGTGGAACATTCTTTTTTCTTCAATTTAAAAAAATTAATTCATAGTGAGTTTATGTTAGTTTTTCAAGGCCGTGGAGTGTGGGAGTGAATTGGAGCTAGAGTTCGCCAAGGAAAGTCCTGTGATTCATTCTTAGATTAGACATGTGCACTACTCTGGCCCTGCCCTGCCATGCCTTTGATGTTAGGGTTAGTAAGCCTTTTATAGCTCATTGTCTTTTTATAGGCTCCTCTTTTACTTAATGAGAATTAGGGATGCTGTCGGAATCATCGGTGTTCATTAAGCAGGAGTAGCTGTCCTTGACTCCCAAAGTCCCATCCTCAAAAGATGTTGCTACACTAGAAGTCGGTGAGTCCCCTCTACTTGCTGGGGTGTTCCTGTGTGTATGTCACCTGTTCAGTGAGCCAGCAGAGCTAAGGGAGCTGTCATTGCTTGACGTCACAAGACTCATCTCAGCTGTCTTCGTAGGTAAGCTAGTTTTAAAGGTTGAAGAACATGCCTTTGGGTGCTTTTTTTATATGCTTAGCATCACTGGAGGAAGCATCTAGGAAAAGGGTAATTTTACAGTGAGGTTCGTAGAATTGATCCTGGGCCTGTGCATGTTGTCAGTGTTTAGAAATTAATTATACACTCTTTTCTGAGCTGACTCCAACGAGTAGCTCGTTGCAGATGTCTGGAGCCTCTTTCCCCTTCTGTAGGCCAGAGGACTTTTGCATGTGCTGGCCCAGCTAGCTCATTCTAGGTGCCTGTAGAATGCAGGCATTTGGCCACTACCAGATATGCTCGTGAGTCAGCAGAGGTTTTAATAAGAGCCCTTCCCGTTGCCACCCTCCTGTCTTAGAGAGCTCCCCCAGTGCCTGTGTGCCCTAGGCACATGCTCATGACACACAATACCTGCTGCCTGCAGTTTAAAGGAGGACAGATTTACTTGAGCTCATGGTTTTGAGGTGTCAGTCCATAATCTCTGACTCCCCGGCATGAAGGGCGCGGTGAAAGGAAAGCTGCTGCCATCACGGGGACCAGGAAGAGACAGGGGAGAACCAGGGAGGGAGCAGAACCTTCCCAGGTCATGCCCGGCTCCTAATTTCAAGTGAGCTGGGACTCAGTCTTGTGCCAGAAGCACCCTGTCTGGGTGCTTGAGGCTTGCGGGGACATAAACTGCCTCCCTTGCTGCCAGGCCCCATGACACTTCTGCCGGGAGGAGCTCCTGCTCCCACTATCAGTGGTAATTTATGGTGGGTGTTCTGGTTGCCAGATACAAACGTTCTCCACCTTCTTTATGATAACTAAGTCTTTTAAGGCAGGCTAGTTCTTAATCATGGAATACAGATGTCGGAAGAGATCAGTGGCAGTAAGCACGGGAACCACCTTCTGAAGATTGTTCCTGAGATTGTTCTTGGAGGGCTATCTAAAGTTTCTTTGGTTCCCCTATTAAATGACACTGAGCTTGAATGGCCATTTTCAAACAGGGTCCAGGATTTATGAATGTTGGATTTGAATGCATCCCTCAAGCTTTGTTCAGTCTTGGGGGAGGAGGAACCAGAAATCAAACTCAGGACCTTGCCCTTGCCAAGCAGGTGCTTGTACAACTATATCGCCAGACAAACTCAGTATCCTAAGTGAGCTTTAAAAATCACTTATTTTGACTGGTTTCATGATCTTTCTAAAATGGCTTTTATATTCGCAAACCCTTTTTCACCATTTTTAAGATTCAGGAGTTCAAATATAAGGGCAGGTTTTCTCATTTCCATATTGCCTCTTGGTCATTTCCAAACATGATATTTAGTCAGTGAGGACAATGATGTTACTCTTTGGGGGGCAGGAGTGGGAGGGGACTAAGCAATATGTAATAGACTCATAATTTAAGTATTATATGCTACAAAAATATGTAAGCTTTTTGGGGGATGTTTCCTTCCTTTCCTCTTTTTTACCCTATTCCTCTCTCTTTTGTTAAAAAAATGAAGATATCTTCTTCAAACAATAGGCATATTCTTGACATTCAGTACTATTTGAAACATTTTCTTTTTCCCAAGGCTTAATTTTTGTTAAAATACTATCCTTCTGCACCTGTTTACAGTGAACATTTCTCCTGTACATCTAACATTTTCTCTCAGGGAGGCAATAAATACTGTTGTGTTGAGCTCCTAACAGCTTGCTTTTGTCTAAACCTGTGTCCCTTTGCACTGAGCTGCTGTTGGCTCAGAGGCCTGGGCCTTTGACCAGTAGGTCCTGCTCATGTCAGAAAAGCTTCCTTGGCTGAGTAACTGGGCCTGACTGGCAAAAATCCACTTGTTTTCTTGGTATTAACCTGAAGGGAACACCACATGCTGGCAAAGATTCCTGACAGAGAAAGGTAGGATGATCAAGTGTGGAAGGAAACTTACTGGCAGGCTTGTGTGTGGTTTGTGGTAATTTTTTGCAGAGAATAAATGACATCCACTACCCTGAGCGCTTTAGCTGCCCTAGGAGCCCAGC